GTGATTCTAATGTGTCCTTTGTTTGAGCAGCTATGTATGAACAAATTTCATTTTCAAATCGAATTTGTAGCGAAATCAACACAACTTTAAAATAAAAGTTTAAAAAAAATATAATAGTCGTGTAATAACTTTACTTGAAAAGTTGTTACAAAAAAGCTCTATGAAGTAGGGCAGCATTACTTTTAATAAAGTATTTCTTTCTCGAAAAGAATTGGAACACAATCGACAATAAAAATTCCGGTGATACCGGAACGTTTTAAAAATAAAAGTTTTTTTCCGTTTCAAGCCCTGTTCTATGGGCACTAACAACGGGAGGTTATGGACGTGTGATCACCGACTTAAATGAAAATTTTTTTTGGTGATACTTGGTCGAAAAATATTAGACCAATATCCGAGTGTTCTTGCTAATGGGCTCGATTAAAAACAATGCTAATATTTTATTATTTTAATACTGTTATCTGAGTTAGGCATGAATATCTATGCTATTATACTTCAATCAATTTAAATTTGTGTGTAAAAAAGGAATTCTTATATATAATACATAAAAAAAAATCCCATAGACTTGTAAGGTGGGCCAAGTAAATTTTTGTCAAAAAAATACGATTCAAATTAGGTTTTAGAGTCCACAGAAACTCTTAAATACGAGTTTGTTTTAAAATCAAAAATATAAATTTTTCGACTTAATTTGTTTTATTGTATATAGGTATGTATGTATTATTTTTATTTATTTGTTTTTGGGTTATTTTTTTCTTATTTATTGTATATATATTATTTTTCTGTATAATTTATTTTATTTATTGTACATAGAGTGTGAATGTGATCTCTGAGTACTATTATAAATGTCCTTGAGACAGATTGTAATATTTTTCAATAAATCAGATAAAAATAAAAATAAAAAAATTGTTTTATGCCGTATACTATAATATCCACAATTTCTCAGTATTTTCCCCCAATTCAACGTTACAACGACCATTGGACCATTGGACCATTGGCTAAATTATATCCCTTTAAAACTATATCAATAACTTTTATATTTAATTCTTTTTTAAGAAATAAATCAAGGAAAACTTCCTCGTCGTTTTTATTTTTTATCTCCAAGCCTAATTTATTTGCGGTCGTCTGGTTTCTGCCATTTTGTGTGTATTATAGGACCCTAAATTCATGTCAATTTTCGTGTGGATAAGTGGAGCGATGTCTTACTTTTATGATTTTCGAACAAAAAAATCGAATGCTCAAATAATTTTGAATTATGTTAGGCAAATCCGAAAAAAATAGTATATTAAATGTTAGACTCGTATTATTAAAATTTGTTTTATGAATTATTGGTGTAGTATAACCATAAAGAAGAATCAATTAAAATAATAATAGTAATAAAAGATGATCTTGGAAAAGAGACCATAATAAGTATTAGTAGAAAAAGGTCTTTTCAGTCTCGAACAAATAATTGCTTTTATTTCAAATTTGTCCAAATTTTCGCTTCTTCGGGCATCTTCAGGGATAATCTGATTTTACATGTAATTTAATACACAATGTGGTACTTTTATGTCCCCAAAGAATGATTGGGGGAGAGGGCTTCTTACGCCCAAAATATTGTTACTTTGAATTTATCTAGTACCTTTGTATATTTGGCTCCGAAATAATTGTCTGTTTTTTTCTAGCACCCTAAATTTTTTTTTTTTTTGTGTTCGCTTACTTCCACAAATTTTCAGGGCTCCTCTGATTGGGTTCTCAACATAAATGTTTTGTATTTTTTTATGACCCTAGAATATTTGGGGACCCCTGTTACGGTATATCGATACTTTGTATTTATCTAGTACCGTTGTATGTTTAGCCACAGATCTGATTGTTTTGTATTCGTTCATTAGCGCGAATTTTGGGATCCAAACGTTTTGTACTTTTTTTATCGACATAGAATTATTGGAGACCCCTCTGAGGGTTGGGAACATCGTTATTTTGAATTTTTCTAATGCCGTTGTGTATTCGGGCCCCAAAATCATTGTTTTGTATTTAAATCTCTGGAAATCACTTTTATATACTTATTATATATACATATTTATTTCCTGATAAGGGGGTCCCCCATCAGATTCTAGCAAAGGAGCCCAAACGGATCCAGATCGGGCCTGTGGAGGGGGTACAGTTTCATGTTGGTTGATGAAACAAATCATCTTCAAATAGAGCAATTTGTATGTATAAAATTTCCCCTTTTAATAGGCGCCATTTTGAAAAGCTCCGGCTTAGAGTTGGCAGAATAATGCTTATATAATACAGAGGATGCTTAATAAACGACGTATGACTAATCGTTTTCTTAAAATAATTCGCAAAATTTCGATTCGATCTTGGACTGTATATTTGATTGTTTATTAATAAAAGATTTTAACAGCATTGCAGATAAATATTTTTTTATATATAAATCAAACTTAATGGTTTAACATTCAAAACAAATAAATCTATGATTTCAAGAAATTGCACACAAAATGGCGAGGTCAAAGGAATTCGTACTAAGCAGGCTTATTTATTTATGGCCACTTGCAATTAAGAAAGTATACTCTTGTTTAAATATATATAAAAATAATAATTGAAAATATTAAGTCCACTGATTAAGAGTTTTAAAAGTAATGGCGTAGATATAACTTTTACTTTTTATGTTTGTTTTTATTTGGCCAGATACAACATTTTAATTTTGTAATTTTTTTGTTATTCTGAAGGGACTTCGTCCCAGAAATAAAATTATTTTCTATTCTATTCTATTCTAGATAAAAGGAATAGTACACAGGGACCAGATAATAACTAATATTTCTGCAATCATTTTCGTTGAATAACGATTCATTGCAGCATAAACATTTGTATGCGATACATACAATGATGGAGAGTTATAGTTTCAAAATGAAATAGGAGTGAAATACATATATATTAGGCCAAAGGTTACCAAATATACACAGTTTTTTTTATCTCCTGTATTCTTTATTCAACGTTTCGGCTTCAGGAGCCATTTTCAAGATCCTGCAAAACTAATTTTAATTTAGTTTTGCAGGATCTTGAAAATGGCTCCTGAAGCCGAAACGTTGAATAAATAATACAGGAGATAAAAAAAAACTGTTTATATTTGGTGACCTTTGGCCTAAAATATATATATATATATAAAATTATGAGAAAATGGCACAAAACCTGAAGGATGTGACTAGAAAATTGACATATATATATATATATATAACTTATATTTTTTTTAAAATGAATTTTAAAAAAATACAGTCAATTAATTTACACACTCCTTTCCACACCACCTCAGAGGTAGAGTGCTTGGTGTGCGTTTTTTTTAATGTGGTTTCCCCAATAGGCCTAATCCACAATAAGTTACAGTCTTCGAAATAATATTTTCTTGAAGAATTTTGGAGCAGACAGATCATTTCAGATCTGGAAGTGCACGGCGGATGAAGGAAATAATCACATGAAACTGTAAACTTAGATTGGAGGAAACTGTTGCTTTTTCTAAGCTAAAAAACGAAGTTGGCTTTTCTCAGAGTTTTTTCTTTTTCAGCACTCGAAGTTGTTAGAAACGTAGACAAATCGTAGGTTCGTGACTAAAAAATGTTTTTCTGATCCTAAATATTAAATTTAAAACTAGTTCAATAAATTTTTAATTATCGTTATCGTATGTTCCAAAGCACACAAATAATTACTCGATTTTAATTTGATTTGATTATTCAATAAGTATTTTTAAATAATTAAAGTTTTATTTAATGTTTTGGCCACAACCATTTTGAGGACATTGGTCCAATCTTAGGTGCAAAAGTATACAAGACTGAGTTGGATATAGTAGAGAGGTATTTATTTTTTTTGAGGGACAACTCAGTGTGGCAATCCTTCAGCATCCTGAAGATGGCACCATATCCTGGAAAAGGCTGTTTATAATTTAGAAATGTCTTATACTACCAATAATGCTTATAGGCAGATCCAGATAAATGGATGTGTCCTTTTCCCACTCAAAAAAATTTAAAATTTTCATTTTTGGAATAATTTTATATTAAATTTTTTATATATTATATTATATTACTTAATATTTTTTATTCTAAACAAGACAAGATTTCATTAACGTTATATCTGTTTCATGAAATAAGTAGTAATTTTATATTTTGAAAATCAGTCCCCCTAAATGAAAACGAGATACAATCCCGTATGATCTAGAAAAACAATTTAGCAATGGTATTCAATGTAATATAATATAAATAATGTACAGACCCTTATAAACATTTTTTTTTCACCCTCATAATGACAATTTTTGGATCGGACCATGCAACAATGCCCTGCAAATTGTTACCAATATTATTGGAATTACAGTATTGGCAGAAAAGAATAATTTTAAAATTATTTTCAACATCAAGAAAAATATATATTATATTACTGGTAATGTCTAAAAATATTTATTTAATACTATCTAACATTAATCTTTTTATATAATAAAATTAATAAACTAATTTTTGATCTTAGTTATCCTCATTGTATATTATTAAAGTATTTAAATAATTATCAGATTATTGATTTTAAATTTAAAGGATTACTTTTAGAATAATCCTATATATAAAATTAAACTGATTAAACATTATAGATTTCTTTTGACCACAACCATTTTAAGGGCATTAGCCCAATCTCAGGTGCGAAAGGATAGCAGACTGAGCTGTATATAATAGAGAGGTATATTATTTTTTTGAGGGACAACTCAGTGTAGCATTCTTTCAACATCCTGTGGATTGTCTTGAAAACGGCTGTGAACAATATTGATATGTCATGTGCAAGCAATGAACGTCAGAAAAAATATTACATTATAATATCAAATGAGGATATTACTTAATTGTAATAAAGAAACATATTAGATTTTTTTTGTTTTAAATTCTAAGCTATTTTTAATTGTACAAAAATAAAAAAATAAATAAAGATAATGATGACCAATTTATAATAATGTAAAATTAGGGACATCTATTTTAAAAAAATTCCAATAAATTGTATAAAATTTGAATTAAGTCATTGTGTCATTAAAGTGCCTATAAAATCATATTGGATTGTTTATTTGTGTGCTAGAACATTTAATATACCGATAATTTATTTACTAAAAACATCTTCAGAAAATCGCTCCAGTTTCACACAGAAAAGTATTTTTCTGAGGGGTAACTTAGCTTGGTATTCTATCAACAGAGGATGGTGCAGTATCCTGGAAATAAAAAAAAAATTAAAGTAATATAATTAAATTACTTTCCTATTTATTATATTTTTGATAAACAACCCCCTCTTTCTAAGGTTCCTAACAATATTAAATTCCTGTCAAACGAAGAAAAATAAAAAAATTAAGAAGCCCCAAACACCCCTTCAAGTGTTCTAAAACTATTAAGAGGGTTCGGGAATAATAATTAAAAAAAAATAAATGACCCCCCCTTCCTAAGTATATTTAATGTTTATAAATTGAATAATAAACAAAATATAATATAAATATACAAAGATAATAATAAGAATAACATGCAATGCAAAATCACATGCAAATGCTACTCGCATGGATTTTGTTTTATATGATGTGTGAAGATGTTGCTCTCTACTCTCATGTGTACCTAATTCGTCAAAATTTATTATTTTATGAAATTTAATCATAAATATATAATCAAGTTATCTGAATGAAATGTAATTTCACTTTAAATCATTAGAAAAATTATTCATTTTTTCAAATAAAAAAAAAAAACTATAGACTTTTTATCTATCATAAAAAAACTAAAAATATATATGAAAAGCTGTATAATTTAAATATATTAAAAAAATAAAATTTATTAATATTTAATAGTAACAACAAAAGTGTGCTGTGTAATGAGAGGAGCCCCCTGCTGTAGACTGAAAATCCTGAAGGACCTCAACTCTCACATTAAAATAATAAAGTTGATAACTGATAATTATAAATTAATTTCATAATAAAGATTTTCTAACTTGAATAATAAATACTTAAAATATCATTTACAATGTACGATATATCTGATAGAATTTAATCACCTCTGATTCATTTTACATTTAAAATATAAAAAAGAACCTAATTTATTAAAATAATTATTTTATAAATATTTAGTTTCATGGAATATAAACATATTTAAGAACAATAATTGAAGTAATAAGTGCTTAAATTTGAATACAAAATTTAAAAATAAAATAATATTAATAAACAGACATAACAAGAACAATTTGTGAGAGGAGGTCCGATGATGAAGATAAATAAAAAATATATATATTTCATGCACATAATTCATGCAGAAAACACTGCCCACTTGGAATATTTATTCTATCTTATTATAACTATTTAGTATCTTAATTATGAAATCATTTATTTATGTAAATGTACAATTTTATTTATTTAATAATAAATTGTATGTAATAATAAAGATTGAATTGTACGTATATATTTTTGTGACTAAAAAAATAAAATAATATCTGAACAAATTATTGCAATTTAAAGAAAACAGAATAAATGTGGTCTTTCTAGATTTATACTTGAATTATCAGACATGCAAATTTTCATGTGACTGAGACGACCATCTTAAATCTTGTTTAAACATTTATTACCTGATATAAAAAAAAAATATTGACATGCAATGTCCAAATGGGCAGGGACTATGGCCCAGATCAAAAATAATTTTAGAAGTTGAAATTGATTCATAATAATAATAATAATAATAATGAAACCAGATCAAAATTTAGCTATTGTAAGAAAAATAAAGCAGAATGAATAATCAAAGTAGTTAAGTTAATTTCCCAATGGAGTGAAAATTAATACATAATGTCCGAGTTATGGGCCATAGTACATTCCTAAAATAAAATAAAATATAATCCACTGACTTGGCACCCTAAGAGGTGTGTAGTTCTGGAGTCCTGAAGATCTGTGAAGTTTAGATTGCTGGCTCCTGAGGCTTCTGCATATGTTTCTCAGCCCTGAAATACAAAAAAATATTAAAACAAATGAATAAGAATGGATTTTTTAAAAGAAATATTCCTCCTAAGTATGTTCATAATAAAACCATTCTTAATGAATAACCATGAAGTTGTGAATGTGGTCCAAGATAGACAACTACTCTTCCATTATACAATACATACACACACAAATTCACTATCCACCATTATTAGTTTGTTCAGTTCCACTACTTTGGTTATAAACGTTGTGAGATTTCAAAATAGAAAATGGACTCGTAACATTCTAACATAGAATCCAGTAGAGTGTTGCTGATTTATAATATTTTACACATGTCATTATCATGGTATATAAGTAAAATATATTTTTTATGTACAGTTTTAAATAGCAATTAAGAAAATATATTAATTTTTAAAATTAATACATATAATTTATGTTAATTTGTTTGCACAATGAAATATGATTTGTGTTTGAAAATATTTAATATTAAATAAGTTTTAAATATTATTAAATAAGTTCAGATATTTAAAAGTTATTGTATTCTGTATGTATAGTAAAACCCACACGACTATATTATTTAGTTTTAATTTTGTATTTTTCTTAACTTGATTACAAATAAAATAAACCTACTTCATTATGCCCAAAATGCTGTACACCAAAAATTTGAATAAATCCTCTTCGTCTACACCTAATGTCAAGACAAACTAAAATGTTACAATAAAAAATTAAAAGTAAGTAAAAATTCTAAAGCTTGAACAATAAAAGAAAATAGAGAAAGGAACTGTAAAAACTATATGCAATATCCAAATATCCATAAACATTTTTTTTCTTTAAAAATATATCTTGTTCCTCATTAATCAAATTAAGAAAATATTTATGTAAACATAATAATAATAACTTAAAAATTAGTGTATAGCCACCACTTATAAAGACATAAATATTGAATGACATGTTATCGGTGTGACATATAAGATTAGCAAGAAACTAGAATAAATTATAATAATTTTTGGTAAGCATAAATAAATTTATTTTTTGTGAAATCTGTTTTAAAGATATAAACATCTTGAATATATAAACAATTCCTGAGCGTAAACTTTATTAAGCTCAAACTGAAACTATTTTTACTAAAATTATTCTTTATATTAATTTTCTTATTATACTAAGGTATAAGTTACTAAATAACTTATGAAATAAATATCATTAATAAAATTTAATAGTACACATACATTATCTAGGAAAGTAGAAATTGTACTCTTCTGATTATGGATTAGAAATATTAAATTCCTCTCGATTAATTATTAAGAGGTTTCAAAACTCAAATCTGTAGAAATTGTGATATTAAAAAAAGTAAAATGCAATCGAAGAATTCCATATTCCTACCATTAAGGGGTAAAAAATAGATCTGTCACCGAGGTAGCTGGTAAATTTAAATGATAAAAAAAATTGAGTTTTTAATTTTGGAGAAGCACTACAAGAGAGTTTAAGATATAAGTGTTGCAAATGATTCTGCAGAATAAAGGGAAACAAAATGAACAAATAAATAAATCACAGGTGCCCAATCTATTTGCTGCAACGAGGAACATTAGTAGTTTGAAACTGGAATGTGGCCAAGTAGTCAGCGAAAAAAAAGTCAAGTTTTCTTTCTTGGATAAATGGGTATTTCATGTCAGACAGGATTTATAGAGGTTACAAATTTTCTATCTTATTACATAAATTATAGATAGTTGATGAATATTTTTATTATGTATTTAAATTCTCAACATTTACAAAAGGAAGAAAAAATATTTTTTAAAATGAGTTCTTATACTATGGCAGAGTTTTACCTCCCTCCCCCTATCTCGTCATTTATGGCATATGGAGGGGGAGGGAGGGTTGTTCTAGAAATACAACCAAATCTATTCTAACCAGATTGGGAAGGTCGAGATCCATTCCGTGGGTCCGTCACAAAATAAATTACAACCACCTCAGGTCGGATTCAAATCTTCGCCACGCTAGAATCGAGAATGTTAAAGCGGGCAACGCCTTAACGAGATCTACCATCACGTCCTCTGGGGTGTAATCGTGGCACGGATTATAAAAAGGTTGGGCACCTCTGAAATTAATAAATAATTGCAAAGACAATAGAAACTAATTCTTACCTTTCTCCGATGACTGGAAGATCTCCTAGGAGGCTTGAATGACCTGCGTGGAACTGGATGACCTACGGAGACAGACTTTTGGAAGACTTAAAGTGAAGCTGGAAGCAGTAATGTATTTCTAAAACATCGCAGTCGTTTTTGTATTCGATTCCTGTACCTAAAAAAAAGAAAGTATTGGATATGACAATAACACGGTGTACAAGAAATTGTACATCTTTTTTTGTGGAGTGGAGGAAAGATAGGGGTAAATTGCTATTAAACAATCAGTAAAATAGCATAATCTAATTTATTTTTGACTAAAAGAGTCTTTCTAATAAATATTTTGATTTCCAAACGTGTCGAGAAACCAAAGACGCAATAAATTGAGATAATTGATAAGTTATAATCTTATATAATATAGTTTTATAAGATACTGTACTGTGAAAATATTATGTTGCAATAGGATTTGAACGGTTGTATGAAAATTTAAAGCTAATATTATAATACAAATATTGAATGCCTTAAATAACAGTTAACTCAAAAAATGTTGAACCACTTTGGCCAATAATGTATAAATGTATTTCATATTCGTTTAATCCATTAAAATAAAACTTATAAAGCGATATCTTATTTAGGGTATAGTACATTTTAAGGGTGTACATCAGATGTTTACTGCAAAACATTAATACATTATTTAAAAATGGTAGAATAAGTAAATATTTATATCGGTATAATAAGAACAACTTACCATATTCATGTATCATCCACCATCATCGCTAATTTCTTAATTAAACTCCTTCATCCATCTTCTTCTTGTCCAATGTCTTTTTATTTCTTCCAATGTATCGGACAACTTGGGTTGTTCCTGTAACGCAAAGGATGTGATGCTCTGTGGAGATTCCTCGAGATGATCCTGCGATCCACTTGACGACGGAAAACTCTTCTTGGGAGACGAAACGATTCGCACTCCGGAGGACCTGGCAAGCCACCTTCTGAAGCCCATCTCGTCCCACGTGAGCAGAGAGCGGTCTTCGCTCTTGCAGGACGGTCGAGAGGATCCGAATCCGACTCTTCGGCGCTCGTTCCATGCAGGGAGAGGGTCCACGGTCATCGATGCTCTCCGAGTCCTCGACCACCTCTGAACACTCCGTTCCGGCATTCTTCCCCTTCTCTCGGATCTTCTCCTCTCCGAACCGACCCTTCCTCTCGAAGCCACTCCGACTCGAACAGATGTTGCGTTCTGACAGAAAAGTCGAAGGAAGAAGAGATTGAAATGCTCTATGGTCTGTTGTGTTTGAGAGTTCGGATCACATCATCGAAGCGATGTCGCTACTAAGCAGTTTTCGTGTCACGGTTGTAAACGAAGAAGAACGTCGCTCAATATGCAGAAATTGGTAACCGAAATAATTGTAATAAATACTGAAATTACTTTAATATTATCGAATTTAAAAAAGAATATAAATAATTTCTCTCTGACAATGTATACAATTATACATCTATCGAGAATCTAAAGGCAGCAAGAGCTAATATTGATAATGTAGTAAAATTAGAATATACGTGAATCTACGTTACAGTGACTTATGACTACAACCAACGAACAGGTTGTTATACAAAACAAATATATACAAAGAAATTCCTTAATCATTGGCTTTTTAGCTATTAGTGTAATTGGAACGCAGCCCCATCTTTAGATGCCATTAAAATGCCAAACCAAGCTATCCCTCAAATTTAATACCTCTCTATTATATCTAACTTGGTTTGGTTTCCTTTGGCGTCTGATGAAGCGTTGAACCATGACTAATAAAAGCCGATGTTGGACATGGAATAGAGCTTTGATCAGCTCTCTACGGCCTGGGATCTATGGAAATATAATGTATAGTGTTTTCCACAGTTTGATTTTAAAATCAGAATAGGTTGCTGCCTGAAATTAATAACTATAAAGTCTTAAATAATTGGCTTTTTAACTATTAGTAAATTTGGTACAACGCCGCATATTCAGATGCTATAAAAATACTAAACCAAGCTATCCCTCAAATTTAATACCTCTCTATTATATCTAACTTGGTTTAGTTTCTTTTAGCATCTGAAAAATGAAGCGTTGTACCATCACTAATAAAGCCAATGTAGGGTAGGGAATAGAGCTTTAAATAAGCCCTAAATGGTGTAGTGTGTGTGGAAATAAAATATGTATGTGTTTCCACAATCTTATTGTTTATAAGACATCTGCTGAAGTTAAAAGTTTACATAATAAAAAAAAAAAAAAGAAACGAGCAGATGTAGCTAAGACTCGATTGAAATTAAAGTAGTGGTGGTTGTGAAATATGCTATTATGAAAGCCTCGTACTGCCTGAGGTTTGAAGGTTACAACAGACCCAGACGGGACTGCCTGACCTATTGGTTTAGTAAAGACATGCCTAAAATTAGGTATGAAGAAAGAAGTTAAGAAAACAAACCACCACGGTATATATTTCAGTTACCAACTTCTACAAGTTGAACGATACTCTCCTTCGAGTACGACTGTGACGCGAAAACTACTCAGTTGCGACATTGCTTCGATGATGCGATTCGACCTCCCGAACACGACAGACCGCAGAACACTTCGATCTCTTCTTCCTTCGACCCTCCCGCCAGAGCGCGACACCCGATCGAGTAAAAGTAACCTCGAGAGATAAGTTCGGCAAGGAGAAGAGAAGGTCCGGGGGAAGGAGAGGAGTGTCGGAGTGGAGAGCCCGGAGGAGGTCGAGGACCCGAAGAACGCCGAGGACCGTGGACTCTGCCCGAGATGAGCCGAACACAGAAGAGCCGGATTCGAACCTCCTCGACCGCCCTGCAAGAGCGAGGATGACTCACCCCTCAGGAGGGAACGAGTTGAACTACAGAAGGTGGCCTGCCAGGTCCTCCGGAGAGCGGATCGTCCCATCTGCTGAGAGCAATCTTCCGCCGTCGAGTGGGTCCCAGGATCTCCTCGCAGGTACTCTACAGAACATTACATCCTCTGTGGTACAAGTTGCTTCCAGACTTCTACCTTCGGAGGGTTAGCCGCAGGAAATGGGTTCATACCATCCGACCAGTCTGCAAAATAAAACATGAACCTTCGTGCCTGTTTCAGGTCAATTTTTTTTTTCTTGAAGAATACATCCAATTTGTTTTTGATCCTGCAAAATAAAGTATAATAATTATAACAATAATATGGTAATAAAATAGTGTTGAATAGAAATTATATATCACAATAGTAATAAAATGTAACAAAATTTTTAACAAAACATTAAAATATTTTCCAAAAAACACTTTTTTAAACGTTATTTTTTTAGATTTCCTAAACTACATTTAAACTATGAATGAAATGGTTTAATTGTTATCCTATGGATAAAGAATTAAACTATATTTTACTTACACTTATATTCATAAATTTAAGCCCTATATATAGTGTACTTTTAATATTATTTCTTATTTTATTATACAATTTAGTTTATTAAAAAATATATTCGTACTTTTTATTCGTTCATCGAGAAGACATAATTACTATAAATTATCAAATAACCTTTGTGATTCATTTATGAGAAATATAAATTCAAATGATTGTTAACTGTTTCGAGACAAACTAAATTTATATTTTGTTTCAAGATCTCATACAAACTTCTCTTTATGTATAGACTGAAAAAACAAAACAAAAGAAAAACGATCTGTTTATAGCAATATCAATATTCTGTTAAAACGAAAACATTAATTACGAAGTATATCGGTACAGAGATGAAACTTCCAATTTGCATAGCCACGTGGAATCCACAGTTCAAATAGTTTATTTTACAATTTAAATAAAAGGTTAATAATATAATTTATATTCTAACACTCAATAGAACAGCTGTTAAATGTTCGTAGTACATAGTTTTAATAGCATTTATCAACAATTATTACATTAAAAATGTAGCATTAATAATTATTACATTGATTAAAGTACGTTATCTCTATTATTGATGTGAGATTTCTGCCTTATTGATCATATAGTTAAAAATTATAACAGATACATAGAATTTAATGAAGTTATGTATTATAATAATTGTTGCGTTGTTCATGCAGAGCTGGGACTACAGATATATTAAAATAAATTTATTTATTTGTTAATACAATATGAGAATTTTGAAACATTATTATGTGCGTTATTATTATTATAATTGTTAAAGAAACATAAATAAAAATATAACTTAACACGCAGTAATATATATTTAAAAATTTGAACAGCACCTTATTTCTAAATTTCTTTCCCAAATAGTTTATCAATTAATATTAATTAGTATGTGGTGATAAATGACTGATATTGAGAATATTTAACTATAATAATTGCTGCGAAGTGAAACGGTAAACAGCTGGGACTAGACTGGACAAAGTACAATGATCGAACTTGCACAGACATGTCGAGTCTAAAGTTCAAAGTAGTTGTGATATATTAAAATAAATTTAATTATTTACTCTAAGCAATAGGAGAATTTTTAAACTTGTATGTACTTTATTTAAAAAAATAAAAAATATATAGTCAATTTAACACACAGTAATATATATTTAATAATTTGAACAGTACATTATTTCTACATTTCAGACACAATTCTGATTTCTTTCTCAAATAGTTTATTAATAATGTTTCATTCCTATATGGAGTGATATTTATTTAATATTTTAAATAATGACTCATTTCTAAATTAGTGGGTATATTTACGGAAGTAAAAAAAATATCGCTCAGTTTAAGAACTAGTCTTATTTTATTCTCTAACACTATTGTTATACAATAGTTTAATAAAACAATTGTTCCAATTGTTAAACATTTGTGTACTTTACTTTACACAAATTATAAATTGATTAATTTTAGAGACAACGTTTATTTTAAATTTAAACTATACCTTATTTCTGAATTGCAGCAGAAAACATTTGAATTCAATTTTATATTGTTTTAAAATGTCGGTTTATTTTTCTCTGTAGCTAAAATACTGATATAATTAATAACTATAGGTAATAATTGTTGCGATGTGTACTGGTTCGTAGCTGGGAGTAGAATGGGCGAAGTGCTATGTTCGAACCTGCAAGGACAAGTCGAGTCTAAAGTTCAAAGTAGTGGGGATACATTAAAATATATTTATTTATTTATTAACATAATACTAGATTTTTAAATAATTTATGTGCCTTATTTTACTGACAAAAATTAAGAATTGGTTAGTTTAACAAGCAGTTATATGTATTTAATAATTTTAAACACTACCTTATTTCTACATTTCAGACATACTTCTGATTTCTTTCTCAAATAGTTCATAAATCATGTTTCATTCCTATATGGAGTAATATTTATTTAATATTTTAAATAATAACTCATTTCTAAATTAGTGGGTAAATTTACGAAAGTAAAAATAATTTAGCTGAGTTTAAGAACTAGTCTTATTTTATTCTCTAACAATATTGTTAAACAATTGTTAAATAAATAATTGTTCTAATTGTTAAACATTTGTGTACTTTACTTTACACAAATTTAAAATTGATTAATTTTAGAGACAACGTGTATTTCGAATTTAAACTATACCTTATTTCTGAATTGCAGCAGAAACCATTAAAATTCAATTTTATATTGTTTAAAAATGTCTTTCATTTTTCTCTGCAACTAAAATACTGATATAATTAATAACTATAGGTAATAATTGTTGCGAAGTGTACTGGTTCGTAGCTGGGAGTAGAATGGGCGAAGTGCTATGTTCGAACCTGCAAGGACAAGTCGAGTCTAAAGTTCAAAGTAGTGGGGATACATTAAAATATATTTATTTATTTATTAACATAATAATAGATTTTTAATTAATTTATGTGCTTTATTTTACTGATAAAAAATAAGAATTGGTTAATTTAACAAGCAGTTATATTTATTTAATAATTTTAAACAGTACCTTATTTTCAAATTGCAGACAATATTCGAATTATTTCTTAGATAATTTATAAATCATAATTAATTCAAATTAAATGCCTATTATTACGTATACATTATTATAATAATTGTTGCTAAGTGAATCGGTACGGAGCTGGTATTCCAAAGAGGTAGCGATGTTTCGATACAATCGAAAACAATAAATATAGATTTTTCCATTTTAATTTTGTGTTATAAAATACAAAATATAATAAATAATATCGGTTTTCGATATCACAACTCATTTCAACACTTAATACTTAAATTGTAGTAATTATTTAAATGAGAACACGAGTTACGCTTGGTTCACAATCACTTCGATCACACTTGTTCATGAAACGACGAAAACAGTCTCGGACAAATCCGTAAACATTCGGCACTCCATGAACGAGTGTAACTTAAGTGATTGTGAACCACGCGTAGCGCGGTCCTCATATAAATAATTACCTAAATGTAATTGTTTAAACAGTCTTTACAATAAACTCAGATGCATTCAGCACTCTATGAACAAGTGTGACCGAAGTGATTGTGAACCACGCGCAACCCATCCAAATAATTACCAATTATTTTTTCTATTCAAGCATATTCAAAAATAATATTAAAGTTAAATTAAATTTCTAACTTGTACAATCACGTCAAATTTAAAAGTAGTATGGGCATAGAAAAATAAATAAATAAATTTATTAAATGAGGCAATAGGAAAATTATTAAACATTCATGTACATACTCAGCACTGAATTTAGAAACTTGTTGGTGATTTATTTGTAAATGAAATTAAACGCCCGATATAATGAAAAACTATAATAAATGTTGTGAAAAATATATATAGAGCAACAATGACGGCAAAGTAAAATATTTTAATTTATAAATTATAGAGAATGTTAATAACTTGATTTATTTTGTAACTTAAAATAGGTAAATTGTTCAATTTTTATGTTACATGCTGGTACATATATACTTTAATATATTTCATTAAACAATAAGCATAATAATTAAACAAATTATTTACACACCTACCTCGTTATTATGTTGATGTAAAACTTTTATAACATTGATTAGGAAGTTTTTAAAACTATAAAATATCTAAAGATGCTAATGAACTTCTTTTATACAACGAACATAAGTTAGTAAGTTGTTGCTACGCGCACTTGTATAGAGTTGGGAACAGACTGAGGTGAAGTACAACGTTCGAACCTGTCTAGACATGTCGAGTCCAAAGTACAAAATAGTAGAAATATATAAAAATAAATAAATTTATTCATTTTTCAACAAGATATGAAAATTATTAAATATTTACATATGTACATTACATAAGACTAGGTTAATTTAAGGCAATAACATTTATTTTATTATTTAATCAGTACCTATGTAGATTCTGAATTGTAGAAACAATTTTGTTCTTTTTTATATAGTTTCTAAATATAATAATTGTTGAGAAATGCATCGGTAAAGAGCTGAAACTTAACTGAGGCATTGTACAAATTGAAGGGGATATATTAAAAGAAATATATTTAATTTAGTAAAGTTGTTAAACATTTATCTACAATATTTTACAAACATAATCTAATATCAGTTAATTTAACAGGCAGTTACATGTATATTTAGTAATTTAAACAGTACCTTATTTCTAACTTGTAGACATCCTTTTTAATGTATTTTTCAAGTAGTTTATTATTGATGATTCATTTTTATATCCACTTAAATGCTTGGTATTACGTACGTACGATTTTTGTGCAACTGAATCGGTAAACAGCTGATCGTACACTGAGGTAGGGATGTTTCGATACTATCGAAAACAATAAATATCGATTCTTTCGTTTTATTTATTTTATTACTATATTTATTGTGTTGTATGATATATATAAAATTATATATATATATATATAATATCAGATTTCGATATCGCAACCTATATTAACACATAAATGAAATATTATTTAGATCAACTATTTATTACATAAAAAATATATTTTAAATTTTTATTATACAAGTGCACATTAACAATTAACACATTTGCTGAATTTTACATCCATGATAGGAGCGAATGAAGATATTAAAATAAAAATATATAGATATAGTGGTATTAAAAATAAGAAAACAAAAA